GCATCCTTATTGAGCTTTGTTTGTTTTGATTGCCTTTTATTTCCTAAATGCCATTATAATGAGCTTATTTCTTTCTGTGATTGCTGAAGAATATAATTGCCCTGCAGTACCAAATAAAAGAAAAAAATAATCATTTTGATATATTGATCCAGCAGTTTGACCTCTAAAATTGCTATTGTTATTCTGGTTTATCAATTTAGTCATAGAAACTCACACACAATATACTGTATGTAGGTTGTATTTAAAAAAAAAAAAAAAAAGCTAAATGGGTGAATGCTGCAAAAAACAAAACAAAAAAACGACATTACTATAATGCAAAATAATATATTTTTTTTCAGAGAATTATTATTATTATATATAAACTCTTGATTATTTTTATTAAATAAAAATATTCAGGCTTGTTACAGTAATGCAAAAAAAAAGTCTAAAATATATTCTGGCTCTGTAATGAAAAATAAACAAATAAAAATAGTATGACTCATTACCAAAATGCAAAAAACTCTTTACTGTAATATGATAATTGAGAATAAAATTTACTATCTCAAAACATCCAGATGCATTACATTAATGAAAATGAAATATTTAAAAACATTATTTGTTATTAACTATATTTACTTAAGTTGTGCTAAATTTTAATGAGATGACCAAATTATATATATTTTTTGTTCTTTTGATTTACTGAAAAAAATAATAATAAAAAGTTCTTGACAGGTTTTACAAAATTCACCCAAATACTGACACAGCATTGTTTTTTGGAAACAGTTCTTCAATGCAACAGCGTTTCTGCCTAGATGCATATTAGACCCTTTTCTGGCTACTGTGTTTATTCTCGACATAAAGACAGTACAATCAGTTTGAGATCTGTTTCTGAGATGTTCCAATCATTCACATGGCCTGCCCTTGACTGAAGGATGTCAGGAAATGTGTTGAGTTCTTGCAGTCTTTCAAAAACAGTGCTGGACACATTGAACAGAAAAGCACTTATTTCTTAATTGGTACCAATTTTTAATGAAACAAATGGAAAGGTCTGGTTTGGTCCTGCAGTGTCCCATCAGTCATCGACATGGATTGTACACATTCATACGGTCAGATATAGTTTAATCCTACATTTGCACATTCTCAAGCACAAGTGCTTTGATTTTCATCATTGTTGAACTTTTTTGAGTTGAATTACTGAAATAAATGAACTTTTCCACGACATTCTAATTTATTGAGATGCACCTGTATGTGCATGTTCTTCAAATGAAAATGTGCATATTTGTCAGTCATTAAAATGTTGGTATGAACTTGTTCTTTGAATTTGTTTTTAAGTAAAGAAAGTGACATACTCTCACAGAAAATACCATGATAATTACGTGACATTACTACATTAAAACTACCAATACTGTCATCGAAGTGAAAAAATAGCAGCTTATACTGTTATTAAAAGGCTCGTTCATATCACACTATCAACTGATAACTGTTTTCATGTTCGAGTTTAAAACGTCGACGCGTCCTCCATCTTGGAGCGGTCAGTGTGCCGTCACTCACAATAAAAATCAATTCGTTTCAAGATGCCACAACATTGCACAGCCTCTGGTGGAAAAAAAAATGCCGAAATTTAAATTCATGAATAAATTGGATAAATCAGAGATTTCGCCAAGAGCGTCAAAATAGCTAGAAACGACCCTGTCTGGGCCAAAATTGTTAATAAACGTTAACGTTTGACACAAAAATGAAAACCAACAAAAACACAGTACCGGGAGGCGCAGCCGTTTAGAGGTAATTTCCCGTTAATGATTTCTCAGAATTTACCGGTATTCTGAAAATGGTGCTTTTTGTATTTACCGGTAAAATCGGTCCAGTAATTTTACGCCAATTTTCTGGTATTACTGTATGATTAAAACCTTTATGAAAACTTTATTGTTATCGTTGGTATGAACGGCCCTTTTCAGCACGTGCTTTTAATAAACCGAGCGTTATCATCCTGGTTGTGCGCTAGTTACGTAACAGTTAGGGTGAATTAAGGGTGATTGGGACAGTTTTTGAATTTCCGCCTTCTGCAAGGTTCCTAGCCATAAATTAAAAACATCAGCCCAACACATGATACATTTCTGTAATGCTGAAGATGTTAACGACCCATTTGAGGAGGAAACAATGTTATATTATAATGAAAGGATGTGTGACGTACACTTTTCTGTAAACTGAGCCCAAAAAATTTTTTTGGGGTAACGTTTGGCTGATTGGGACAGCACATTTTTTCATTGATTTAGGGTAGTGTAAGAATATTTAAAATTAAAAACATCAGCCCAACACATGATACATTTCTGTAATGCTGAAGATGTTAACGACCCATTTGAGGAGGAAACAATGTTATATTATAATGAAAGGATGTGTGACGTACACTTTTCTGTAAACTGAGCCAAAAAAATTTTTTTGGGGTAACGTTTGGCTGATTGGGACAGCACATTTTTTAATTGATTTAGGGTAGTGTAAGAATATTTACTGAATTACACAAGTTAGTTCATGCTTTGATATAATTTTATATGCAATATTTCCTTTTCTGTTCATCAACATTAAGAGTACATGTTTATTTCTGTTGAACTTTATTTCTCAGTTCATAAATCCATCCACAATTCATACAACACAACACATGCAACTGAGGTAAACGACGGCTTGAAGTCCAAAAGTCATTGAAAACGTTTAAAATCAAATAGACAAGAAAAAATATATATACTGTATATATATAAAAATATGTTGGGTGGCCCCATAACCAATTAACACATTTAACCTGCACAAACCTTTAACAGAAATATGAATATGGTTTATTACTGCAACAAAATCAGTAAAAAAAAAACAGTTTATCTATAATGCTTCTAATTCAGAATTATTATTTTAGCTAAATCTAGCTAGTTTGTGAATATTTTTGTGGTTGATTGGGGCTTGCATAAATAAAAAGGTTGGAAACCACTGATTTAGGGCATACAGAGCATATACAATGGTTCTCTGTTACAAGGTCAATCTTCTTAATTAGCAAAGCCTTTAAGCACTGCCCCAATCACCCAAAATGATGCTGTCCCATCCACCCAAACACAGGACAAAATAAAAACAACCTAATTCTGAAAATAGAAACATAATATTAGCACATTTTTTTACTGATTTTGTAGAAATAGTGCATCATATTTATGTTTGCATCAAAAGTTTGTATATTATAGTAGCTAATGCTATGACAATTTTAGGACCTTATTATGAAAACTAGCAAAAGCTTATGTCATTGTCCTCAGTTCATGCGTTTCACGGTCAACTTCCTGTTTGATGCCTGCCCCGCCCACCTGCATGATGTCACACCAATGAGGGCATCCCATTTTAATTATTATCTACTTTATGTGAAGTAGAACATTTAATTAAATCACTAAGAGTAATTAATAACAAAAAATGTATTTCTTTTTTGAAGAGATATGATGAGATCTTTCATGTACCGTGATTAATACTTGTTTTGGTGTTTTTTTTTTTAATCCTCTTCTTTATTTGTTCTGTTCCTGGCTTTCTTTATGTTCATAAAAAAGCTATTTAAATGCAAAACATTTTTTATGTGGTCTTACAACCAGGGCTCAGCAAAAAAAAAAAAAAAAAAAGGTTTTATTTTCACTCATTAGGTGAAAAAATACATTCTGTATAGTTATACTGTCCCATTTGACCTTGACAATCACCCTTTTATGTAAGCGGGTCTTTACACTGGCAGAGCCCACAAAATAAAAATGATTTTACAGTAATTACAGTAATAAGCGTAACTGAAAATAGTTTTTTAGACGGTATTACTAGATTTTAGTGTGTACAGCAAGAGTTCTGAAGCACACGTGACTCGCCTCAAGCAAAGTGCCTGTCAGAAATCAACCACTAGATGGACGCATTTCACACAAAAACACAAACTCCACCCATACATTACATTCACTGGGAAGAATGAACTTTTTAAGCTTTAAAAATACAAGTAAAAAGCACAAAAACAGATATATTTGCGTGGTCGCTGTACATGAATGATTTTAAAGCGCGAAACTGCATCAGTCCTTTCACTGAATAAACGTGGAGGGAACCTTTTCCTCAAACCTGCATCCTGGAGCTCTTTGATAGCTCCCCGAAACCAAATCCAGTATTTACGTCACGAATTTCACAAGTGTATATTTATATCCAGCTAATCTGCCATCTTTGATGCTGCTCCGAAATTGTGTACTCTGTGTTGTAGAGTGTCAGAGAGGGTTTGGAAAGAGGAGACGAGGGGACGAGGGAA